GGGGAGGGCATGTATTTCGATCAAAATTAATATGCGAACGGGAAGAGAAAATTAGCAAGTAGGCCAAGAGTAGAAAGGGAGGTCCCATATATTTATGACCTACAACAAAAACATTTCATGAAAGCAAAGCGTTATTAAGGCTAGGGATGAGGAAGTTAAGTTTATTTTAGAATGCTTTAATGTCTTCTGGGGTAATAGTATAGATTGTGAAGCGCATAGAGCTTGCTGTTGAGCAGGAATTGGCGCCATACAAATGTTATCTATTATTATTATTATTATTATTATTATTATTATTATTATTATTATTATTATTATTATCATTATTATTATCATCATCATCATTATTATCATTATTATTACAAAATGTAGGCGCATGAACCAACCAACTAACAAACAAACAGCAACAACAACAACAACAACAACAACAACAACAACAACAACACAAAAAATAGGTAACGCAGCATAAACCAATGTTTACAAATAAAGATAATAATATTGAAATAGTAACATAATCTAATAACACAGAAAAACGAAATGAGCGAAGTACGAAGAGAATGCAAGTTACCTTTCAGAATATGGCGGCAGTCGACGCTTTGGGTTTCCGAGGACAGAAGAGCGATCACGTATTGTGCAGTCAGCTTTTCATGGTCGGCTCTCTACCATTATATCAAACGTTCAAGGTCTTCTTGTCTTCTTCACTCAGGTGATAAGCTGGCGCCGTTTGCAGTGAAGGAAAATTGTTTGACATGCAGAGGTTAATGCTCTCCCTCCTTCTTCAGGAGCAAATTCCTTGATGAACACCCTCACTGCCTATATTAAGCACGAACAACCTGATAGTAGTGTTGTTAGATAGAGGTAGAGGTATTAACACTTTCACGTTTTCAGTTATTAACGCATTAAAACTATGAGTATACCATCTATCTTAAAGACTGGTTGTTGTTGTTTTTTTGTTTTTTTAATTAGAGAATTAAAGAAGTGTATAGACAGATCTTAATTATATAGACGCGTTCTAACGTTAAAATAAAAATTTTAATAATGAGCTCACACCTGTATGCTCCACCTTCAACATTTAAGATCTGTTTTTCACAGACACAATGGGCACTTTTGATTTCACCGATTTATGATATCAACAGCGGGTAGACCGAAGGTTAGTTAGTGGAGATTTCGTTGTGTATGTGGATGATAATCCAAGAGGATCCGTCGGTTTTATAGGTAGGCTAGAGACAACGGGCTGTGGGTCACTGTTGAGGCGCAGATAGGCGAAAAAGTAGGTTTTTACAGAGACGGGGAAAGAGGGGGGGGGGGGGACTGGTGTGTATATTTGTGAGGTAAGAAAGGGGGGTGGAGGTATCAATGTGGTTGAAGGCATTGGGGGAAGGGAGGGAGGGGGGATAAAATAGGTGAAGAAAAATGCGTAGCGTTGAGAGAGAGGGTGGTGGAAAAGA